ACATATGTACATATGAAGTTTTCAGTGGTTCTTCTGGTTAGCCAAGTAAAGAAATAGAAGCTTTGCCATTTGAACAATACATCGCTGCTGTCTCATCATTCCATTTTAAGGCACAGCAAAGGCGAATTTATTCAAGGTGGTTGGTGTTGGCAAAGCAAAAACAAAAATTACGTTTACAAATTATACGCACATTGACAATCAATACAAATCAAAATTACAACAAACATATCATGACAGACAGTAAAAATTCGCATTGAAATCAGCAGCTCCGGTAACACCACCTTATATAAACTCGCGTTGGACACAGCAAAACAGACATTAGGTACATACGTTCGTTTCAAATCTCCAGTAAAAAATGTCCAACAGCGAAATTCCGGCGAAATGCCATCTGTTTTCTCGCAAGAGAAAAATATCCAAAATAGTACGCGAACAGTAAATTTGCAGAAACTTGCAAGTTTGACGAACAGCTGATAGAAAGTTTGTTTACATTCAAGAGTGTAAAACTGAAAACGTAAAAAAACAAATCCCAGAGTCTTATCTTGACACAGTCTACTGACTAAACGCATAATTACTTACATCTTACAAGTTAAATTAGTCGCATTTTATTATTTTTAACTTCCACACCACCAAATTCAATTTAGTGATTTGCGTAAATTCCAACCAGCTGTATATAATCCGCTGTTTTCTTGTTGGAAAATTGCTGTTGGCAAAAATTTTTCCAGCAGAAACTAGCTTCTCCTAAAAATTAAATGTCATTTTGCTCTCTCGATTTCCCCTACTTTGCAACACAAAAAGGTGATAGTTCTTGAAAACTTTCAATAATTATCAGGTAGGCAATTGCAACTATTTTTATTACCTCGCTTATTTTAGCTTGATATGTAACTATGCAATAATGAGGTGCCTAAAAGATGCGGCGATTTCCATTATCAAGTTACATACCTAATGACAGTACGAATGTGAATTGCTTTAAATTTCCATTTTAAAGTTAACTGATGACAGCACGAATGAAAATTCCAACGATTGATTCTATTATGTTATTCTATTCGCTATAATAGTTTTAAAAGCAATTGAATTTAAGACTAAAAAGATGAAAATAAAATTATAGTTAAAAAATTAAAAACTCGCTTTTAGTGCGATGTGAACTAAAAAGTAAAAGATAGAAGTGTACTCGTACCCAAAACTATCAAAAGTTTTAGAAAACTTTTGCTGGTTTTGCATTCTCGTACCCAAAAAACTTGCAACGTAGGGGAAATTGAGAGTGCAAAATGTGATAGATAGCTGCAAATTTCTGCTGAAAAAATTTTTACCAGCGAAAACTTGCAAGTATACTGAGAAAAAGGATTAGTTTCGACAACTAAAGATATTTAGTTCCCGAATTTCGACAATATTTGGGAACTGTGACCAAGGATTCGGAACTATTACCATGGGTTGGTAATTATATCTAAATATATTAAAGCTTCTAATATTCATCTAGGTTGTACCAAATCGTTAATTTAGTTGAAGGGTTTGGTAAATTCTAATAAATATTTTTTTTAAGCATATTTCTACAAATTCCATTCAACTTAACGTATGGTTCATAAAAGGATGTTATTAAGCTCTGCTAATGTAGATAAGCTTTCTCTCAACACATGGTTTAGTCATAGTCACCAAATCTTAGTTGAGGCAACCACGATTTGGTTTGAGAGTGGAACATATTCATGCTTGTGAGCCACCCCTAAAGAATGCTGAGCGCTCTCTGAGCAAATGTGTGTTTCACATGCGAAGAGCGCCAGCTGAGCAATGCACATAGTCCCACTTATTAAGTCGTTTGAATGGGCTAGTATGCCGACCATTGCATTGGGCGTGGAAATCATTGCTGCGCTCCGCTCAGTAAGCCATGACATGTAGAGCTGCAAAACTATCGATAGTGCCCCCATTCGATAGTTGCGATAGTTTAGGTTGCCCACTATCGATAGTATCGACATATTTTCAATGGATAAAGTTTAAAGTTTTATTTATATATAAACCAATGTTTCGTTTAAATAAAGTACTTAGTATATATTTCTTTCTTCTTCTTCTTCTTTTTTGGCGCTGTAACCGCCCAAGCGATTTTAACCGAGTTCAGCAAAGCACGCCAGTCGTTTCTCCTCTGTGCCAACTGACGCCAATTGGAAACGCCAAGTGAAGCCAAGTCCTTCTCCACCTGATCTTTCCATCGCAGTGGGGGTCTCCCTCTTCCTCTGCTACCACCAGCGGGTTCCGAGTTGAATACTTTCAGAGCTGGAGCGTCGGTGTCCATTCGAACGACATGACCAAGCCAGCGGAGCCGCTGTATTTTAATTCGCTGCACTATGTCCATATCGTTGTAAAGCTCATACAGCTCATCGTTCCATCGTCTGCGGTACTGCCGTCGCCAACGCGTAAAGGCCCGTAAATCTTCCGCAAAATCTTTCTCTCAAACACTCCAAGAGCCGCCTCATCGGATGTTGTCATTGTCCTTGCTTCTGCGCCATATACCAGCACGGGCATGATGAGTGACTTATAGAGCGTGGTTTTCGTACGTCGAGAGAGGACTTTACTCCTGAATTGCCTACTCAGTCAAAAGTAGCACTTGTTGGCAAGAGTTATTCTGCGTTGGATTTCCATGCTGACATTATTATCGGTGTTAATGCTGGTTCCCAAGTAAACGAAATTCTCTACTTTCTCGAAATTGTAACTGTCAACAGTGACGTGGGACCCAAGGCGTGAATGTGCTGACTGCTTGTTTGATGACAGGAGATACTTCGTCTTGTCCTCGTTTACCACCAGACCCATTCGCTTTGCTTCCCTATCCAACTTGGAAAAGGCAGAACAGACTTCGCGATTTTTGTTACCGATGATGTCGATGTCATCGGCATAAGCCAGCAATTGCACGCTCTTGTAGTAAATTGTTCCTGAGCGGTTCAGTTCTGCAGCTCTTATTATCTTCTCTAACATCAGATTAAAGAAGTCACATGAAAGGGAGTCGCCCTGTCTGAAACCCCGTTTTGTGGCGAACTGCTCGGAGAGGTCTTTTCCAATTCTGACGGAGCTTGTGGTATTGCTCAACGTCATTTTACACAGCCGTATGAGTTTTGAGGGGATGCCAAATTCAGACATAGCGGCGTATAGGCAACTCCTTTTAGTGCTGTCAAAGGCGGCTTTAAAGTCGACAAATAGGTGGTGAGTGTCGATCCTTTTCTCGCGGGTCTTTTCCAAGATTTGGCATATTGTGAATACCTGGTCTATAGTGGATTTTCCAGGTCTAAAGCCACACTGATAAGGCCCAATCAGTTCATTGAAGGTGGGCTTAAGTCTTTCACACAATACGCTCGATAAGACCTTGTAACCTATGCTTAGAAGGCTGATCCCGCGGTAGTTGGCGCGAATGGCGGGGTCACCTTTCTTGTGGATTGGGCACAGCACACTTAAATTCCAGTCGTCGGGCATGCGTTCATCTGACCATATTCTGCACAAGAGTTGATGCATGCACCTTATCAACTCCACGCCGCCGTACTTGAATAGCTCAGCTGGCAGGCTGTCAGCTCCAGCAGCTTTGTTGTTTTTCAGCCGCGTTATTGCTATACGTACCTCGTCATAGTCAGGCGGTGGAACGTCGACTCCGTCATCATCGACTGCGGGCTCGGGTTCTTCTTCTCCACAACTTTCCGTGCTGCTTCCATTTAGTAGGGCGGAAAAGTGTTCCCTCCATAATTTAAGTACGCTCTGGACATCAGTTACTAGGTCGCCATTATTGTTCTTACAGGAGTACGCCCCGGTCTTTAAACCTTCCGTAAGTCGCTTAACTCTCTGGTAAAATTTTCGGGCATTCTTCCTGTCGGCCAGCATTTCAAGCTCTTCGCACTCACGTATTTCGGCCTCTCTCTTCTTATTGCGGCAAATACGTCTCGCTTCCCTCTTCAGATCCCTATAGCGGTCCCACATAGCGCGCGTTGCGCCCGATCGCAGCGTTGCCCTGTAGGCGGCATCTTTTTTCTCTGCAGCTTCCTGACACTCCTCATCGTACCAGTTGTTCTTTCGGGCTCGCTGAAATCAGACTACTTCTTCGGCGGCGGTACTTAATGAGCGGGAAATGTGGTTCCACTGCTCGCATATGTCGGTTTGTTGAAGAGTGCTCTCTGAGAGCAGGTGTGAGAGTCGAGTAGCGAAAGCGCTGGCTGTCTGTTGTGATTGCAGCTTTTCGACGTTAAGCTTTCCTTGCATATTTGGGCGCACATTTTTTGCTGCACAGAGGCGGGTGCGTATCTTGGCTGCAACAAGATAGTGGTCCGAGTCGATGTTAGGGCCTCGGAGTGTGCGTACGTCTAAAACACTGGAAGCGTGCCTTCCGTCTATCACAACCTGATCGATTGGGTTTCTCGTTTTTCGATCCGGAGACAGCCACGTAGCTTGATGGATATTTTTATGCTTGAACCTAGTACTGCATACTACCATGTTTCGGGCCCCGGCGAAGTCGATCAGCCTCAATCCGTTGTCGGACGTTTCGTCGTGGAGGCTGAATTTTCCGACGGTGGTTCCAAAGATCCCTTCCTTGCCCACCCTGGCATTGAAGTCGCCAAGCACGATTTAGATATCACGACGGGGGCAGCGCTCGTATGTGCGCTCCAAGCGCTCATAGAAGAGATCCTTGGATGCCTCATCCTTCTCTTCCGTCGGGGCATGGGCGCAGATGAGCGAGATGTTGAAGAATCTCGCTTTGACGCGGATTGTGGCTAGACGCTCCTCCACCGGGGTGAACGACAGTACTCGGCGACGGAGTCTCTCTCCCACCACAAATCCAACACCGAATTTGCGCTCCTTTACATGGCAGCTGTAGTAGACGTCGCAAGGCCCCAGACATTGTTTGCCTTGCCCCGTCCAACGCATTTCTTGGATGGCGGTGATGTCAGCTTTTGTCCTTACGAGGACATCAACCAGCCGGGCAGAGGCACCTTCCCGGACATTCCAGGTGGATGCCCTCAAATCGTAGTCCTTTAAACGTTTGCCGTAGTCGTCATCATAAGGGGGGGTCTCATCCGAGGCTTTGCCTTGCTTCTTCTCTGGAAGTGGTTTTTACGTGGCGGGTCCGAAGCCCAGCGCACAACCCATTGCTGGGACGGGGGTGGTTTCGCAACCAAATACACGTTTATATAGCGAGCCGCTTGCTCCAAGCAGACACCCGCTTGCAGCCGCACCTACTGGTGAACAGACGCTGCAGACTTCAGTGAGCCCTTAAACCGAATAAGTCGGAGTGGCCCCACCGAAGCTCCCTCTCTTTCTGCCGTGACCCAAGGCTCCTCTCGGATTGGTTACCGCATCTCGCACATGGGTTGCTCACGTTGCCCAGAGTGCGCGAACGAGGACGCAAGAGTCGGGATTGAGTATAGCCATGCAACTGTAACTGCATACCCGACTATACCCCATTGCACTCCTATTTCCTCCACATACAGATTATTTCATTTTGTGAATACAAGCAATTAACGTTGTATAAGGAACTTTAATAAAAATAAATATATAATGAGATCATTATGGGCACAGCCATTTGTTTTTGTTTAAAAAAATTATGATGTCAACATTTTTAGCTTTGAGTGATGCTCTCCGATCGGAGAGTAAATATCCAGCTTTGCTGAAAACTCGTTCAGGCTCTGTTGACGTTGCTGGAGTGCACAAATAGCGTAGAGCACATTGTGTTAAGACTTTCATATCAGTATTTGTCTACAAAACATAGAACAGAAATTATTAAAAGCTAAATTCCCATAGACGGCCATTGTTACCTTCCAATATTCGAATGGATCAAAATCATGTGGCAAATTTTGATTTTCGAAATATTGACGAAGCATTATAATGGCATCAGCTCTTGTGGATTTACGTTTACCAGCGACCTTGTCATTTAAGAACATAAAGAGCGGTGCAATTTTCGGCTGTTGTGTTGACGATTCTGGTGATGTTACCGTATGTGTCGGCAAATCAGTAACCACGGGACTCAAAGTTTTAAGCATATTAGAAAGCTCATTTTCCAAAGCTAAAGCTGCCTGTTCCGCAATGATATGGTTCCTGAACTCTTCCTTTTTGAACCGGGGGTCAAGCAATGTACTCATTTTGGGTGTGGTTCGATTTTCATAGGGGACAAGCCTTATTTGCAAACGTTCAATCAAAATGTTGAATATGGCAAGCCCTTCATTTGTTTTTAGTTTATTGTGCGTTTCATTTAGAGTTTGAAAGAGAATACATATGATAGGAATGATTAACGAAATTGTGACAGAGTTACTTGCAGATACTTGAATGGTCGCGTCATCAAATAGTGCCAATAATTCAACTAATTCTTCTAGTAGCTCTATTTCGTCAGCAGATAAAGTCCGGGTGCTTTTGGGGTTCTTAAAATTACAGAGGAAATTATATCCTTAGTTTGCAAAATTCGCTTTATCATGCGATATGCACTGCTCCAGCGTGTCGGACATTCTTGCAATAAATTATAAACTTTTCCTGTTCCTTGTGCATTTTTAAATTTGGCGTAAGCGATCGAGCTACTTTTGAAGTAAGTCACAACCTTTTTGCATTTCGTTATCACATTTTTGACTTTTTCAAAAGCTAACACATCTTGCACAACCAAATTTAATGTGTGAGTAAAGCACGGAAGATGTCGCTTTTGCAACAATTCGCATGCTTTAATCATGGATGACGCATTGTCGGTGACAACATGCAAAACTTTATCTAAAACGCCCCACTCCGTCAGTACAATTCGCAAGGACTCGGCAATATTGGCAGCCGAATGATTAGTACTCTCCAAAAGATTGTAGGTAGACAATACTGCGCTTCTTAAGCTACAATTTTCAATGAAGTGACAGGTTACGGTTAAGTAACTCTCGTTTGCCCGAGAGGTCCAGGCATCCGTAGAAATAGCACAAGTATCTACTTTCATAAGAATATTTTTAAGATTTGCTTTTGATTGATCATATAATTCGTGGCACATTACATTCTGCAACTTGGTTCTGCTAGGCATCATATAGCGCGGATCTAGTAACTTGACGAAAGCGGAAAAAGCCTCGTCTTCTACGATTCAGAAAGGCTGGTAATCTATGGCAATCATTTTCATTAGTACCCTGTTAAGTGCTTTTTTACGAGCCGAATGCGAGTCATACGTTTCTGATGCATTGAAAAATGAAGTTATTTTATTTGGTTTCGACATTCTGTTGTAACCAGGATGTGTGCGTTTTAAATGGTCCAATAAATTGGAGGTATTGCCGCTGGTTTTGTATACCTTTTCACAAGACAAACATTTTGCACGCGTTTTATCCTTGGAGCGCTGAAAATAAGTCCACACTTCTGAAATTGCATTTCGGCTTCGTTTGCACACTACGCTCTCACATTCGCTGCCTGATTCATTTGGTTCGCTGTTTTCATGAACCCTTGCTGCAAATATTAATGTTTTCGTTCAGTATTGATAGATATAACTACACGTATATATATTTTATAATGCTTACCACTTTCTTGAGACATTTTAACTTATTTACAACTCATTCAACGCCACAGCCTTGCGCCTTTTTATTTCACAAACTTGTGAAATTCAAATAAAAGAAGTGCAAAATTAGAAAAAACTATCGATTGTCGCAAGTAAATTCCATGGTTTTGCAACTATCGATAGTATTAACCTAAAGACGACACCATCGATAATGTCGATAGTGTAAATTTTAGACACACTATCGATACTATCGATAGTGCCATCGATAGTTTTGCAGCTCTAATGACATGTCGATCACTGCGGTAGGTAGAGAAAGAAAAGTGTGTGCTATGACATGCACAGAATATGTCTCAGTTCCAGTTTTTCTATGACCGCGAGTTGTTTCAGTGCGCGCATAGTTATTTAAAAATATAAAGTTTGATGCCAACCGGGGATTTTCAGTGGATATACATATAATTCATGTGAATTATAATTTGAAAGTGTCTATTTAACCAAGGAAAAAGCAAAGCCGTATACTTCCAGCAGATAATGACCTGGGGTTTCGCACGACTGTTCCTGTTTCATCGTTTCTTTTTAGGAAATTCTTACCACCATATACCAGGGACCGTAACGGTTATAAGTTTTATTATAAAAATCACTTTTTAATCGTTATTAACTGAGTTTTATTTTTTGCTCGGAAAATAATGGTTACGTTTTAAGTTTTATTTTTTGCTTGGAAAATAATCATTACGTTTTAAGTTTTATTTTTTGCTCGGAAAATAATGGTTACGTTTTAAGTTTTATTTTTTGCTCGGAAAATAATCGTTACGTTTTAAGTTTTATTTTTTGCTCGGAAAATAATCGTTATTTCTTGAGTTTTAGTTTTTGCTCAGAAAATAAAACTTAATTTTTGCGTATGCGTATGCGCATGCGTGAATAGACAGGGGGCGGCTGCATTGAACCTTTAACGCCACTGTGGAGTGGGTAATGAAAATACAGATACCAGGGCAGAAACAAAGAGAACCACATTTCTAAAGCAAAAGTGCAAATCACAAATAAAATACACCAGTTTTATTAATAATCTTAACCTTAATCTTCATCTTCATCTTCATCTCATCATCATTATCATCATCATCATTATCATCATCATCATCTTCATGTCGTTGCCCTTGTCTTTGTTTCTGCCCTGGTATCTGTATTTTCATTACCCACTCCACAGTGGCGTTAAAGGTTCAATGCAGCCAAGAATGATAGAATACAAGATTGCACCGTCGTGGGCGTTGACATTTGTGTACCACAAGTAAACAAAGAATAGAGCGAAAAAAAGAACGAGTTGAAACTGCCAAAAGAGTTCACTTTACAGCGAAAAACGTGTTCTAATTTTGCTAAATGCGAAAATATTGCATTTTTACCTAATCTATTGGAGAATAGGTAACATTTTAGTGCACTCCATTGCCTTGCAATTGAGGCTGCGTCAGCAAACGTTTTAGTGCACTTCATTGCTTTGCAATTAAGGCTGCTGCAGAAAACTGCGGCAGCATCTCAGCGGGATTGATTAGTTAACTTGCTAATGGAGGCCGCTTGGAGCAGAAGCAAAATCATTGTGAGGAATTGCTGTTAATGTAATAATAAAGAAACATTTCGGGAACGGCTTTGCCGTGCCCTATGTACACAAAGTTCAGCAATTCTTCCCAGTGCTACACTTGCATCTACGCATCTTGTATCTTGATGGCTATCGCAATTTAACACACAGCACTACATTTTATTAGTTTTTACGCAGTCTTCAACTCAAAAATCACTCACAAATAGCAAATTAACACGATTTAAACTGATTTTTCATTTATAATTCAAATTTCTCTTTCGCTGATTTGTAAACAAAGGTTTATTTACAAGTTACCACAACTGTCAAAATCGGCAAAACCAAAGTAGCGGTACCACTGACGGCGCCACCTTTGTTCGCTACACCGTGCAATGCAGCCGCCCCTGTCTATTCACGCATCCGCATACGCAAAACTTACGTTTTATTTTCTGAGCAAAAAATAAAACTCAAGAAATAACGATTATTTTCCGAGCAAAAAATAAAACTTTAAATGTAATCATTATTTTCCGAGCAAAAAATAAAACTTAAAACGTAACCATTATTTTCGGAGTAAAAAATAAAACTTAAAACGTAACGATTATTTTCCGAGTAAAAAATAAAACTCAAAATATTATGATTAAACTGGATTTTTATAAGTAAAAATTAAAAAATAAAAATCAGTGCCGCTGAAGGTATTCCGAGTAATAAGAAATATATTTAGCCCTATCATAGAATCCATCGTAGAGAATCTACGAATTCGGATGTCCGCTACGAATACGAAAAAATTGCTATCACTGAATCCGAGTGAACTCGAAAACAGTGCTGCGAAATTAAAATTTCAAAGTACGAAGTTTCGCAATCAGCTGGCTGAAAGTAAACAAATAAATTTAATCGTGCAATATTTTTGATTTTAGACATTTTTATAAAATTATCAATAAAAAAAT